AAAATCTCATGGAAATGCCGATGGACTGAGCCGAAGACCCTGCAAAAAGACTGTAGACATTGCTGCAAAGAGAGGTTGAACTAACTAGGTGCTATCAAGCTGAAGTCAAAGTGACCGAAGGAGTTGATGATGGTGGAGTGGAACCAGGTATATATATTAAAGCAGAACAGGAGAAAGACCAAGATTTGAAGCCAATAATTGATTTTCTAAAAGCAAGTGTTTTGCGCCCTGCTTGGGAAAATGTGTCTAGCTTAAGCCCTGTGACAAAGAACTATTGGGCACAATGGGACCAGTTGAAGCTTGAAGATGGTATTCTTCTCCGGAGATGGGAAACTGCAGATGGGAAAGTGACGACTAGGCAAACAGTTATACCGAGAAAGTTATGCGAAGTTGTGCTGCATCAATCCCATAATAGTTTAACAGGAGGACATTTCGGAATTAAGAAGACATTGATTCACCTACGACACAGATTTTACTGGATAGGTATGAGACAAGATGTGGAAGAATGGTGCAGGACATGCAGTACATGTTGTGCTAAAAGGGGACCCAAGCATAAAGGACGTGCTCCAATGAAGTTATATCAAGTTGGCTCACCAATGGAGAGAGTAGCCATTGACATTGGTGGTCCTTTGTTCCAAACACGTGCAGGAAACAGGTACATTTGTGTGGTGACAGATTATTTCACCAAGTGGCCTGAGGCATATGGAATACCAAATCAGGAAGCTACAGCTGTAGCTTTGGCTATTTGTGATTTCTTCTTCAGATTTGGTATGCCATACGAACTGCATTCTGATCAAGGCTGTAACTTTGAATCAGCTGTGTTTCATGAATGCTGCAAGTTGTTTGGCATACGAAAAAGTGGGTGAAGTGGCGTTGTTCTGGCCAGTTGTACTTTTCTACCATCCCATCAGACTAACACTGGAACAGGAATTGGCAAAGTTTTGTAATAGCCGCCAAGATGACTGGGATGACCAAAGGGAAGTCTCCTAAGTTGTCTTCTCCATGAGAAGGCCCATATGACATTGTGGATCGTCTCTCAGACATAACTTTCCGAATAAAATGTTTTAGACGATGTAAGCCAAAGATGGTGCATGCCAATAGGCTTTGGCATTATCACGGTCCAGGACATTTCAGTTGGAACAAAGTGAACAATGGAACAAATGACGCTGTTGAAAACGTGTCACCTGAAAAAGCCACTGTCGAAGAAGAAACTCTATCCGGTTTTGAGAAGGGAAACAATGAAGCCCTTAATGAAGTTACTACCACTGATGTGACTGTTACCGATAATAGGACATTTCCTGATGGAGCAGATGAACCCCACGTGAAGCAGAAGCCAACGAGACGGAGACCAGTACGGAAGAAGATACGTCCAGTAAAATTAAGAGACTTTGTTTAATTTTGTGTTTGTAAATTCTGTTAAGTTATAACTGTAAGTTATTGTTAATTATCTATTGGTTTAATTTAAGTGGCTATTGTTTGGGACAAGCAATACTAAGGAAGGGGCAGTGTTATGAGAGCGGAAGTCACGTGACGCTAATAAAACGTCATGAGATTCTAGAAGGATCATGTCTGTTCGTGGCAACTCTAGTCTTCTCTATGCGCCCTCTATTGTTTATATATATAAGCC